CAGACCCTGTTTTATTTAATTGTATCGATAAATTTAAAACAATACTGGAGGTTGCATTCAAGATCTTAACAATTCGAACTTGACACATCCTTGATTCATTTTCTATAATTATTCACCATTTCATCAAATGTTTGCTTTTGTGTATCACCAAATGTTGCAAAACACAACATGAAAGTATCTAAGGTGCGCGACGGAATGAAATGCGAAAATATATATGAGCGTTTTTAAAAGATTTTCACGCGAATCCCACACGAATGTGTACACTTACATAATCGACAGAAAAAAAAATTTCAATTCTTTTTGGAAATACTAGTTTTACTTTAAAATGAGCACTTCAGAAAATTTGATTAAATATCCAAATTTTCTTAATTTTAAACAATAATGTACTTTCCTTTTACATCTCTGTTCTACTTGTTAAATTGCAGTTGTGTAAAATAATGTTATAAAATTCCTGCAGATATTCTGTAAAAAATATAGAATAACGTACGAAATAAATTGATTAAGTAAATTACAATAAATAAGTTTTTAATATGTACTTGTATTTTCTCTTTACGGATGATTATAAAAACACTGAAAATCATGTTTTCTTTTCTTTTGCTAATATATACATTTCTAGACTTGTTGTTCAGTAAAGTAAAATAATGTATTACTGTAAACATTTGTCTTCCTTGTAAATACGAATATTTTGTTTATTTTCACACTTCGTGATTCAAACATACCATCAGCTGTCATAAGACAAGCATATCGAAACGTATGGTGTTTATTCTTCTCACAAGTTATCGCTAGCAGTCGGCAACCACAGTGATTGTAAATGCCGAAAAATTCGGTATATAATGTGTACTTTTAACACAAACACGTAATATAAAAAAAAATTAAGTCAATTCCTACTTAGGTCGACAAATAAAAATTTTATTTTAGTCACTTTTTATTAAATATACTCTATAACAAAACAAAAAACCGACACATCAAGAATGAGTTGTTCGATTGTAATGAAATTTCGTATGCAAAGACACTTGTATCGAACATGCAGATGGTAAAAATTCGGTGTCCTGTGAATGAATAGCGAAAGCTACAGTGCATCGGAACTGCGCACTCAGCTGGTATCCATAAGAAGCTATTCTCAATCTGATGGTCAAAATTTCTGTTGAATTGCGATTTAGGATACCTTTCAACGACTGAAAAAAATACCTCGCCGCAGGATTCGAGCTCATTACGAGCAACTGTCAGAGTTTGAAAGAGGTCGTATCATTCGATTGAAAAAGGTAGATTGGGTAAAAATTGGAGAATCGCCCGTCATTTGTGTCGAAGCGTTGCGGCCATTAGAAGATGCTGGCAAGAATGGGGGGAGGGGGGCAATGGCAGATTGCAGCGTCATGATGGTAGCGGTTGACCTTGGGCCACAACAGATCGGGAGGATAGATTGATTGTCAGATCAGCTGTCACAGTGCCTGATTCATCGTTATCAACCATCAGACGTGCGACCCGCACACGAGTGCCCACCATGACCATTCACATACGGATGATAGAGCGAATTTTACACTCGTATCGACTACTAAGCAACCTGCCATACACGCCTGCGCACTGTCGAGCCAGATTACAGTGATGCTTGGCCCGATCAGGTTGAAATCATGCTGACTGGGAACGTATAGTGTTTAGCGACGAATCTCGCTTCCAACTGTGTCCTGACGATCATCGAAGACGTGTCTGGAGACACTCAGGGCAGCGTGCCGATCCTGCTTTCCCTATTGCGCACCACACAGACCCTCAACTAGGAGTTATGGTCTGGGGTGCCATTTCTTTTGACAGTTGGACCCCTTTGGTTGTCATTAGAGGCACACTTACAGCACAGCGGTACGCCGACGACCTTATTTTTCAGCAAGATAATGCCAGACTACATACGGCACGTGTTGCTATGAACTTTCTTACAGCTTGTAAAACACTTCCTTGGCCAGCCAGATCGCCAGATGTCTCTCCGATTGAGCATATCTGGGATATGATGGGAAGGCAACTGCATCTACTAGGGAATATTGAGGACTTGTCCCGACAATTCGAGCAAATTTGGCTAGAAATACCGCAGCAGACCTTCAGGGGGCTTTATCACTCTATGTCACGTCGTGTTGCAGCTTGCATCCAAGCTAGGGGTGGGTCAACGTTTTATTGTGAGCTTGCTACTTTGTAACTATGTAACTCTGAAATAAATCATTAAATGTTTTGAAATTTTAATCATTTTCTATTCTGTACATAAACTTTCTATCCACCAATTTTTGCCTCTATCGGACAACTCGTTCTTGGTGCGTCTATTTTTAATTTATTTTTTTCATTATAGAGAAAGCATGTCAAACTCATACAATATTGCGGGCCACATGGTCTATTTTATTATAGGTTGGGGTCGCATGTTTTCAGTCTTCAAAAAATCAATAAAATACAATTTTTATAATGTATTATGCATTTATTAAACTCCATGCACTGTATACGTAGTCATTTTATATATTTCATGTTATTCTTCACAACTTTTAAAAACAGAAAATCTTCGATCTATAATTCTGTTTCTAACAATTTAATTTAGTTAGCATAATCAGTAAATTTTAATTTATGGGATTTAATCAATAGATATTGACAGCTTTGAAAGTAAAACAAGTTTTCTTTTTCTATTTATTTTGGCCAAAGTAATAACATTTAATAGTATCAAATAGAGTTATAACAACATAGCTTTCGCCTTGAAGTTTAAATTTAAGTTGATTGAGATGACTACAGTAATATTAACTGAGAAAGCCAGGTCCTTTATCCATTGCCCTTCTTTTAATTCTGCACGTTTATAATTTTTGTTTCCTAGAATTTTGTAATTTCACCAGCAATTTGAAGAATCGTTTTAACACTTTATATGAGTTAAAAGTCATTGAGCTTCCGTATAATATGGTAGATAGTTGTATTAATTTTCTCTCTCTTCCAAAAATGAAGCAAAGCGACTATGGTTAAATCTATATTCCCGAATATAATTTACAATTTTGATGACTATTTTTGAAGCATGTCCTATATTTTTAAAACTTTGGAGCATAGTAACTTCCGGTGAATAATACAATGAAACTGTTCAAAATTATTATTACCATACTGTTTGCATGTTTCTTTTAATCTTGCAACGAATCTTTAGTAATACCGGCCATGATAGGCGCACCGTCATACAAGATGAGCCAATTTTTCTTATGGTAACTTTTATTGCTTCAAAACATCTGTAAATACATTCAAAATACCTACCCCAAAGGCTGTATTATAAATTTAAATGATTTCCAAAAGTTATTCACTTATTTTTTAATTAACCTCGCATCCGTGAATACAAATGACTAAATGAGCGAAATTTCGAATATGTATACTTTCATCAATATTGCAATAAAGAAGGCTTCAACTGTTGATATTGTTGAATTAGGATGATTTCTCAAATTCTTGGCTATTTCATCAACTCTGCTAGCTACAATATTTCGACTTAAACTTATACTTTTAATTTGATTTGTTTGTGCTGGACGTAATATTTCCGCTGTTTTAAATAAACGTTCACTTATAAATTCCCTTTCAGCAGGGGCGTAGCTCCCGCTGTATCAGCCATATCAATGTTACGGGGCCCCCAAGCTACAGGGGCCCCAACACATGCAAGGAAAATTTGGTAATATATTAAGGGGCCACCAAAAAAGGTGGTCAAAAATTTTTGATACGGTGCCACTCAGAGTGCCACTCGCCAGTGCCTTTTAGTAAATGATTTCGATCTGCTTGCGTGATTAAATGTGAAAATATATTATTACAGCTACAGCATCTGTATAGTCTGTAACAAATTTAATGAGTACACTTTATTGTTTTTAAAGAATTGGTCTCAGTTCTGACTTGTCTTCACGAAATTTTGCTAAGTATTGGTCATATATAGTTTGCTTCATGATTTATGTCATAAGAAAATAACTAGAAATAACTAATAATCTAGAAAATAAAGACGTTCCTCTTGAATTGATACTTCTTAACTCATTGTTGAAATTTTATTACATTTCTTATTAAATAACTTTTCAGTTTAAAATGAATACAAATCAAAAAACCCTTTTATTTACAAACGATCAAGTATACACTGCTATTTATCTTAACCATCTTGAATATTTTTTAAGCTTTAAAAAACATCTCTAATTGCCTCTTGAGGATTGGACACTCCAAACAGAGAAGGAGGAAAAGAAATAAAAGTCGGACACACGAAGAATCAATGTATCATCCGTATTAAAGAATATATGTATAATGCATTTCAAAATTTAATAAAATGTAATTTATTATAGTAAAATGAAATGGAAACGTTTAATAAAATATAAAATATATTTTTAATCTGAAGGTCATTTCTGTTATTAAAAAGGATTTCTTTTTTAAAACAAGAACAGGTAAGAGGCAGATATATTGTAGATTTATATGTTTAAAAGGTTCACCTCACACACATAAATAAATTTCAAAATTAAAAAACTTAAAAGACCTGTAAAATAAACATGTTCTAAAAGAGTCGGTGGACCGCAAATTACGTCCTGGCGGGCCGCGTGTTTGGCCCCCCTGTTATAGAGTGTATTTACAATTAATATAAATATGTGTATATACATATGACAGAATCACAATATTAAGTGACAAAACAGAAAGCGATTTTCGTTGCTATTTTCCATTTTCCTTTCTATATATGGTGTTGGACTGGGTTTTGTTTGTTTGTTTCTTTTTATTCATTAATTAAATTTAATTTTTCTAGTAAAATAGTAAAGAAATCAAATTCTCAGAAATTAGGTCATCCCAGGTGGAATTCAAACCTACGACCTTTGGATTAGAGGTCCTACGCGCTATCCATTGCGCTACTGGGACACAACGAACGATTTTCCTCTCTATATATGCTGTTGTATTATTAGTTTTGTTTGTTGACATTTATTCGCTTTTTAATTTAATAAATAAATTAATATTTGAAAAAACTGTGGTAACATCAAGTGTCATCCACTATAAGTTTTAAAAAATGTACTTGAACTTGAATGGATGAATAGAAAGTTTTTTATTAACAACTGAAAATTTGAACAAAATACATAAATGAATATATATATACATATAGGAAGAGAGTGTAAACTAATAGTAGGAATTAAAAAAAGAAATGAGTATTAAAAAATTAGACTTCTACATACATCGAAATACTATTTATTTACGAGGAATGACATTCCGTAAGAACTTAAGGGGTTGTAGTTCTAGAAATATACCATTTTTTCGAAAGCTTGGAATAATCCCTCGATCAAATGACTTAAAAAAATAGAGCATTGCACACGTACATTTCAGGTTTCTTCGTATAAAAGGGGAAGGGGCGTTAAATAGCAAATGTACCTAAAAATTAAAAAATGTAACTTGAAAGTATAGGTTCGCGTTATACACTGGTGCGCGTTACACGCCAGATCTTACTGTAAAACTGAAATGTTATTGTGTAATAACTATATATAACTGTTATCATTCATTGAGAATCATTATAAATGATAAGCATACTAGAAAAATAAAAGAATTCCACTTTTATTCAAAATTTGGAGAAAGGTGATAAATTAACAACTGAGATAATTTTTTAAACTACACGACTTCCTCTAATTTGTGAAAACTATATTCAAAAGTAAGTCACAGCATACCGATAAAATGGCAACATTTTTATTGTTTATAAACCTTATATTTTTTTCTAATTTGTGTATAACAGTATCAAAGTGTTTTAAAAAATATGTTAATATAATTAAATTGAGGTTGTACTTATTGGAGCAAAAAATTCTGCATAATCGAACAGATTTCATCAGAAAGTATATTTTGTAATAAAGCTTGGAGACGTGAACGCTAATTAGATCCAACATGAAAAATTTGTATCACAAGAATTCGAATCAAGATAAGATAAACCCTTTTTCAATCGGTATTCTGATGGGAAACCATGAGTCATTAGGAATGCTACATCTGTTATTTTGCTCTGTTACGGTTAAAAATAAAATATAAAAATAGAGTTGAGTTCCCACGTTGTTATTTGATTAGTGCCGCCATGATTTATCTGCATCAGTTACTCTAATATCATCTAATTCTGAATGCTAGATAAACTGCACTGAAAAGTTGTAGTTTATAGAAAAATTCTAAATCACAATGTTATACAATTTGAGTTGAATGACTTGCTTAAGACTTCTTTAGTTTTTCTTCTGAAAAAAAAAATATTTTTGAATCCTCAGTCAAAAACGAAAATATACTTGCGCGCGGAAAAACATTTTCGAGGCTAAGACGTCGAGAGATAAAAAATAATTCGCTCTACATTCTTATAAGAAGTTTCTTGTTTTATTATTCAGATAATCTTGAACTGCAATAAGTTTACTTTTTCCCGCTACTCGCGTAACCAATCCTAAAAGAAATTAATGATTAAGTCTAATAATAGGAGTGATATAAAATGTACTCAGCATAACGACATTTTAACATCCATGTATCTAATTCATTTGAAGAAATTGTTTAATGACTTGTTCCTTAATAATTTATACACTGTTGTTGCAACACAAAGCAAAAATGCAACACAATGAAGGAATCCTCAGAATAAAATGAACTTTGCAGCAAATATCAATTATAGGATGTTACGTCAAATAGTAAAGTTTCAGAGACACCGCACATGCATGGCGTGCGCAGCGCCCTCTGAACTGATGCTGAAAGTGTACAAATAGAAGGATATAGAGGGAGATTAAAAATAGTTAATGATTATTTGTTAGTGGCGAACGCTTAGTGAGACTTAAGTATGCCTCCACAACGAAATAAGGAGAAATTCCAACAACTTACAGAGTTTGAATGGGGAAGGGTTATCAGTCTTCAAGAAGGAGAATTTTCCTATCGTGCAATTGGAGCTTGTGTGCAGCAGAACAGTTCCACAGTGATGCGAGTTTGAAAGCAGTGAACCGACGAGCATCGAACAACTCGAAAAAATGGCAGTGGAAGACGGAAGGTGACGTCAGAGCGCGACGATCGACAACTGCTTTGCATGGCGATGAATGACCGTACAGCTTTCTCTAGGCAGTTGGTAGCACGTTCGTCTACTGCTACAGATATACTAATGTCGGCTTCATCAATTCGTCGACGTCTGCTGCACAGTGGATTGCGTGCAAGGGTGCCTTTATACAGGTTCCCCTCACGGCAAACCATAGACAGCTGCGTCTGTAATGGGCTCATGAGCACAGAGCCTGCAAGTTGATTGATACCAAGTTGTCTTTTCGGATGGATTACGCTTCAATTTGTGGGACCATGATAGCCGCATTCGTGTTAGGTGCTATGCAAGTGAACACTTCCTTCCAAAGTGCGTTATCGAACGACATAGTGGCATAACACCCGGAGTTATGGTTTCGGGGTCGATCAGGGACGATCCAATTTGCTACGAATTGAGGTAATCTTAATAGCAACAGGTACATCCGTGAAGTGCTACAGCCCGAAGTCGTTCCCTTCCTTCAAGGCATCCCTGGAGCTATCGTTCAGCAGGATAATGCACGCCCACATGTTGCAAAGACTGTTGGAGACTTCTGTTCAGCCCAACACATCCAATTTCTTCCTTGGCCTACTTATTCGACAGATATGTCGCCTATTGAGCACATATGGGATTTGGTTGGTCAGCGTCTCGCTCCTGCTCTTAACTCGTCTCGCAGTTTCAAAAGATGAACTTTTGCTGTGCATAAAGTAGTATGGAATTTTCAGACATTCAAAATCTATTTGATTCCATGCCACGTCCTATAGCAGCCCTTATTGCAGCGCGTGATGGCTACACCAAATACTGATTTCGAACACTTAATATTGTTTTTTTTTTTTTTTTTTTTTTTTTTTTTTAAAATTTTTTCATTTTTTTGTACTAATAAAAGTCGTTTGTCCATGGTCATGTCATGGACATGTGTGTCTTGGTGTTGTATTTTTTGCAAACAGCAGTTTATGTTTCATTTCATAAAGATTTTAAGGGGGCTATAAGTTATTCAATTGATCTATATATATATATAAGAGATTAGCGACTCACTCACTCTTTTATCACGAAATATGCGCATCTACGAGACCAAAAAACTAGAAACTTGGCACAGGCATGTTTCTTTCATTTAGTTGACATCCGCTAAGAAAGGGTTTTGCGAAAATCAACCCTAATGGGGAGTATTTTTGAACGTTAAAGATTTTTAAGAAATTTCCAGTTTCTGAACTATTAGAACTACAGATTTTAAACTTGGTAAACATATTATTGAGTAAAGATCAGTTGAGAACGGTTTTTAGGAAATTAACCCCCAAAAAAGTGTTTGTGAAAATGCCCCCCTCGGGTACCCTTCTCTTAGATTATCTGCGTGAGCTAGAGGTATAGGGTTAACTAAAGAAGGAGATGTAGCCATGTTCTTAATATGACTTTATTAAGAACTAAAACTTAAATCTTTAACAGATTAGATAATGGTTATATATGTGAGAATCTACGATGAACAAACACACAATACAAGTAATGCCGAATTAACCTTACTCGGACCACTATCAATATCTAACCCGCCTAATCTCAATTCCAATAATAACACGTCCTAATATTAAATAGTCAATCCTACCTTAATCCAATCGTATCTCCGATACTAGGGAGTGGCGTCTTTACGCGAGTGCAATGGTATACACCTTGACCTAATGGCTTTATCTTCGGAATAACCTCTGTTGCCCGTCCTTTCACAATTGTATCAATCTCTCACATAACATTCCCCAAATTGCCATTTCACTTACTGAAACTTCTGTTATTTAAAAGCTATCTAATTTGCATTTTATCTTTACGTTTCACTTCTTGGGTTTTGGTTGGAAAAGAGTTGCCATTAATCTTGGCCCCAAAAGTACCCAAAGGATATGTTACAAAAAAGACGCGTGAGCCCGTCACAGGTTGCGAAAGTTATTGCAGCATTAGAAATTAAATTCCCATTTTTCAACTATTAGACCTATAACTTCAAGTTGAATATTCACATTTCTTTTGTGTATTAGAACGGGTTTTGCAAAATTCGATTCCCAAAAGGAGTTGCGGGTATGTTATAGGAAAGAATTGCTGTTTTTTAACTATTAAACTTATAGACTTACAATTATAATAATGAGCATATCACTTTAGTTTAATACAGATCCAGAAAGAGCATTTTTTGCGGAAATTGACTCGATAGGGAAGTTTAAGGGCGCGTTACAGACAAAAAAAAAAAATAAATAAATTGCGAGAATACCTGGCTTTATAACAGCTTGGAATTAGACAATTATAAAAACAAATCTACTAATAAATATACCATGATTTACTATAATATACCATAAATATACTCATATAAGTGTTATAAATAATTTGGTTAAAAAACTATTAGTTTTTTAATGTGAAGGATTTCTTAACAAATGTTCCGAAATACAGATATCACAACTGTGAAACTGCAAAACAAAGAAAACATGAGATATTGTTTTTAAAATTATCAGTTTTTTTTGTTATAAATCCCGAATGAGAAGCTATTTTATGTGTGTATATAGGTTAATTTTTTTACTCTCTCTCTCTCTATATATATACATATACATGTTTCACAATTATGTCTCTTCATTATAACCCTCAAAATTTATTACGATTCTTAATTTTCAAAAAAGTCTCAGAAATGAAAGGAAAATATTTCTTTTTAAAATTAAATGACCTTTTCACATTTGTAAAAGTGATTTATAGCCTCATTCCAAATAGAATAGTTAAGGACATTGCAGTAGATTTGTTTGTGATGAATGTGAAGCTTCCCTGAAAGAGCTTGATTAGCTTAAAGGGGCGTTTCTTTTGTAGAATAATGGAAAAAATAAAATTACACAATTGTAGGAGTAGCTTCTATCACTTC